ATATATATAAGAGTATTATTTCATTTAAAATAGTTTGAAAGCATATGTATTTTCACAAATTATTTTCTTTGTAAAAATATAAAAATTTTTAAGAACACTTTGAACACAAAACAAACTGGGAAAATGATATTCATCACACCCTTTATAATTCTCTAATCTCGAACATCATACTATATTCACATGTTCTGTGACACTCTCTATAAAGATGTTACATATTTTCACACCTCTTTCATAATTTCACTTTCAATTCTAGATATCAAACTTTTCAAACAACTCGAGGGTTTCTTCAAGATAAGGGAGTAAACTAACAAGGTACCAATTCCTTCTTGCATTGGATAGGTGTAAGACCTCCAGGTTTGTTGAAACATCTGATTCCTACGTTTTTCGTCAGGATAAGGGAGTAAACCAACAAGGTACCCGATTCCTTCCCACACTAAATAGGTATAAAACCTCCAAGTTTGTTGAGGCATCCAATTCTTACAATTTTCTTCAGTATAAGGGAGTAAACCAACAAGGTACCCAATTCCTTCCCGCACTGGATAGGTATAAGACCTTCAGGTTTGTTCAGGCATGTAATTCCTACAATTTTCTTCATAATAAGGGAGTAAACCAACAGGGTACTCGATTCCTTCTCACACTAGATAGGTGTAAGATCTCCAGTTTTGTTGAGGCACCTGATTCCTACATTTTTCTTCAGGATAAGGGAGTAAACCAACAAGGTACCTGATTTCTTCCCGCACTTGATAGTTATAAACCTCCAGGTTTGTTGAGGCATCTGATTCGTACAATTTTCTTTAGGATAATGGAGTAAACCAATAAGGTACCCGATTCTTTCCCACACTGGATAGGTATAAGACCTCCAGGTTTGTTGAGGCATCCAATTCCTACAACTTTCTTCAGGATAAGGGAGTAAACCAACAAGGTGACCGATTCCTTCCTGCACTGGATAGGTGTAAGACCTCCAGGTTTGTTGAGACATCTGATTCCTACGATTTTCTTCAGAATTGGGGAGTAAACCAACAAGGTACTTGATTCTTTCTTGCACTGGATAGATGTAAGACCTCTAGGTTTGTCGAGGCATCTGATTCCTCACTTTTGAGAGTAGTAAGACCCCCTATGGCATCTGACAATTCTCTCTAGAACAATTAATAAGTCCTTGCAGCGCGTTTGAGGCACTTGTTCCACCCACACCACCCACACCAAATTAATATACATTAATATACGGGATTGGGAGGAAACCAGCAAGGTACCCAATTTCCCATGCACTAGATCAGGAGTAAGCCAACAAGGCACTCGATTCCTCTACTGTCACAGTGCACACACTGGATGAGGGAGTAAACCAACAAGGTACCTGATTCCTTTGTACATTGAATAAGGAGTAAGCTAACAAGGCACCTTATACCTCTGCGACACCATATTAGGACACACTGGATAAGGGAGTAAACCTTATACCTTCGTGACACTATACTAGAACACACTGGATAAGGGAGTAGACCAGCAAGGCACCCTATTCCTTCTTGCACTGGATAGGTGTAAGGCCTCCAGGTTTTATTGAGGCCTGTTGAGGCATCCAATTCCTCACACCTCTGAGATAGGAGTAAGGCCCCCTGAAATGGACCAAGGCTTCAGATAATTCTCGCTAGGATAGTAAGCCCTTATTGCGTGCATAAGGCATTGCTAAATTTTTTTTTTCTTTATGTCTGTCACTTTGCTATGTCGGCACTAACTACACACACACCATACTAAATTTGTACACTTCACTACGTCAACACTGACTAAGCATACACAAAATGAAATACACACTTTACAACGCCCACTTGTAGCTATGCTAATTTCTTTGCCAAATCAAGACAATCCTTCGCCAAATTACGGTGACCACGGTCAGGTCATGACCACCTTTCTGCTGAATCACGACAGTACCTCTAGATTCATACCTTCCTTCCCCTAACAGATATAAATTGAATATATATATATATATATATATATGAGCTAGGTATAAGACCTCTTTAAGTGTACACGACATCCTAGACTCTCCTTCTTTGGCACTTGCAACCACTGAGACCATATACCTCAAGTGGTACAATAGTGTCTTTGACTAGCTCTCAAGTTGAAGATGAATCCCTATGCTTTTCTTCCTAACCTAGTCTTTCTATGATATTACACATATTTTATTTAATTTGATAATTCAAAATCTTAACTACAAATCAAAATTTCTACCTACTGATCCTCAGAAATGATGTTGGCAATCCAAATTCACAGTTTATAAAAAAAATACGCACACACATCAACCTTTGATAAATATCCTTCTTGCTCATCCCTAATGGATAACACCTTTTATATCCCCAGTGGGTGTTCACTAAGCTACCCATGGTGGATACTAGTGCAGTTCCTCCCTTACTGAGTTATATAATCTTTAAGGGAAAGTTAACTTCAGATTTACTCGATTGGTCCGTTGATCACCTTGGTCAACGCCAATAAGCGCGGTGTGCTTCTTTAGCACACCCCACCCATTGGGGGCCATTTTTTGACCTCACTTTTGGGTGAGGATTTTGGGTCTTTCCTTTATTATCTAGGGTATAGCCTTAGAACTTTCTTAATAACTATCTTAACATCTTAGAAATGGTACCTACCTTCTCCTTAGACATTTCAACCAAATCTCTATTCTCTATGTTGGTTCTTTATGTGATCAATAATCTTTAATACAAAGATTAGAGATTACATAAGGGAACTCTGATGAGAATTCCTATAGGATCTATGGACCATAAGAAAGTCTTGCACTGTTTTACACTTTTTTGTACTTCAATGCATTGCATCATCAATCATAATCATCATGATCATCATAAACATTGTATTTTCATATCACAAGGTTGCAATCATTACACCCATCAGGCTGACCAAAATTATTTGAACTCAGTTTCCCCTAAAATAACCCACTTGAATATTCTAATTCTTCAAAATTCCCCAAAACTACTATTTAATTGCAGAATCCAATTCAAACCATTTGATATTATCATTTAGACCATTTAAAATCCAAAAATTGCAAAAATAACCAATTTTCCTAAAAATTACCAAAATACCCATGGACCCCCAAAATATCAATATTTCCAAAATTTCTCATAGTCACCAATAAGTCCTAAAAATCACGCAAAATCATTCCTTATGTCTTCCTGAGAAATTTGACTGTAAGCTTGTTATACTTCCTGACAACTTTTTGGCACATTGACAACAAAATAATGAATACTTAAAAAAATGCTTCAGGGATCATAAAACATTCCACATTGATCAAAAATGACCTCAGACACTGTCGTTTGACTCCAAATTTCTTCCTGAACCACCTAGAGCCTTGAAATCAACCTTTTGACCACTTTGTCCCAAGTTGGCCAAAATTACCAAAATGCCACTCATGGCACAAAAATTCTCAAATCCTCCAAAATCATTTCAAACACCTCTAAAACCAATTCTTGACCATCCATTGGGTCCAATTTGACCAAATTTGCTCACTTTGACCAAAAATCTTAAATTAAGCTTCATGATCAATCAAATACCCCAATTTCAAATTCACATCAAATTCAACATATCAACATATCTAGATCCAATTTCAATTCTAGATCCAATTTCAATTGAATCCAAATTCATTTAATTGACCCATGATCAATTTCCAAAATGGTCGATTGTGAACCAAAACTCTGATGAAAATTAAATTTGACGCATTTTTGACATGATCATCGTCGAGGTTGTCCAGGTGACCTCAAACAACAAAATGGATCACACAAATGCGTCTGGTACGTCAATTTAACCTAAGAAGCACGTTTGTCTCGCTATTGCTTCGTGGGCGGTCTAAAAATGTCGGATGATGAAACGAACTGTGTGATTGCGTCTAGAACGTCAATTTTACATAAAGAAGATGTTTATTTCACAACGAGGCAGCGTATAAGCGAAAATGCTCGAGTGATAATGATAATAATAATAATCAATGCGTGCTGGAAAATTCGCAGCAGTAGCGTAACAAATTATTGTCTTAGCGTTGTACGAGAATTCATCACACACATAGAAGAAAGAGAAAACAAAAAGAGATGACTCTAGAAACTTTTACGGGAAAACCTAGAAAGGAAAAAAACCACGAGGTCTGACCCAATTGCAAAAATACACTATTGATTAATGATTACAGAGACCCCTTGTACCACAGACGAGAAAAGATTACTGGCTTTCCAAGTTATAATATCGACTGACGGCGTCTAATCGGCAGTGGTCGACGGAGATCAGTTGCGATCGACAGTAGTCAACGACAATCGATGACGGTCGGTGGTGGTTGATGTAGTTCAGCAGTGGTCTACGGTAGTCGATTAGTCGAGGACGGTCGACGGAGGTTAGCGGTGATCGACGGTGGTCGACAAAGGTCGGTGGAGGTCGTGGTGGTCGACGACGGTCGGTCGACGAAGGTCGACGATGGCAGGGATGATGTTGGACTTGAGTTTTTTTTTCAAAACCTTAAGTTCTCTCTCAAGCCTCCTCCCTCATGTGAGGGGTGGGGCTCTATTTATAGTGTTCTGGGTGCAA